GTTCAGTTCTTTTTCAGGTAAAAGACAGTAATCAGCCACAGGCAATGAATGAATGGTGTGCACGGCATCATAGATTGATTGAAGTTAAATATCAACATCATTTGTTGGCATTTCAAGTGGCCGAAAAGTTGAACTTTCATACGCGAGACCTAAAGTCATGAGTTCGATTTCCGTGTACGGGAATCGAAAAGAGCTTCCTTCATGTACAACCCATCGGTTAGGTTTTTTTCTTTCAGTTCGTTTGAGTTTTAGTCATTTTAATAATTCGAAACGGTTCAACCAAAACAATATTTTAGGCGAACTCTCAAACACCAATATTCATCAGGAACTGATATTGAATCACAGAGATGTTGAAAACTAGGAGAGTATATGTTATCTCCTTCACGTTTCGTCGAATTTATTAGTGCTCACCAACACCAATTTTCAAAAATTTCGACATCATTGAGAACAAGATACTTTTTTAGATCGTTGATACGGTACGTGATTTTATCAATTTTCAATATAGTCTAAACGCTATCTGATATTATAAGTTAACGTTTGTCTCGCTTCTGATATGGCTGAATTTATTGGTCACAAATTCCCACTGGGATTCAGTAAAATTTTTCCCTGAGTTACATATTGTGATATAGCCATTTTATTTGTCTCTCGCAAAGTAGTTTCATAAAATATTATCAAATTTGTACTGTGCTGATTGAAAACAGAGAAAGTTCATTTCACTTACAATAATTAATATAAATTTAATCATTCATGAAGTAAATTTTTATTCAATTGAGAAGACTGAGGCAGGCGCGGAAGATTGCATTGCGTAAATTTACACTCTTAGTCAACTGAAAACTAAAACACTACATTGTATACTCTATTCGCACATCATCTTTGAGTCGTGACTTCCAACACTGCATCTTCCATTCCTGGTAATGCTTCTTTTCCTTCCTGTTGGTACTCCATATACTTCTTGCTTTTGCTCCATTTGCTTTGCGTCTTCTTCTTCTATCATGAGACTTATTCTTGCACGTCCTTTCTTATACTACTTGTATACTTCGTCTAAGTAGCACACACCACACTATAACATAAAAAGATTTTTCCATTATACAACAACCTCCATAAACTTGGCCCAATTGGGTTAGCAGTCAAATATTTACCAATTTTACCATACTTCTTTATTCATCATAATTATCCGTTATACAAATTAATAGTTGAACTGAAATTTAAAAGACTAAGTTCAGTTTGTTTTTTATTTTTTTATTTAGTGTTAAAAAGACTAGAATTGTGTTAAGCAATAATTTATGTTAATTGTTCAGTGAATTAGTTCCTCAGTAGTAGAAAGTTTATTCATTCATTTTAAAACTAGTAATTAATACTAAACTAGTCTAAATGAATAGGTACTTGACAAGTTTTAATGGAAAATGGTTTTGTCAAAATGAAAATTGTGTAACAGTAATTAGTATATGTAAAAAAAGGTTTAAAATCTAGATAGCCTTTTTATTGGTGGTAATTAGGCAAAACTGTTTCTAAAATCATATGATCACCTTAAAGTTTCATGTTACAAATCCTATAATAATAAGTAACAATATGCTTACTGGTGGCTAACTTTCAGAGGTAATACCTTAAGTTTCAAGAAAAACTCGTGGTCACTAAAATTTAACGAAATCGGATCAATGTTCGGTGGTCATACACTATCGCAAATTAGCTGAAGTTTAAAGTGGATACCGTCTCGGCTGCCGGATTAGTAGGTCCCATTGACGATCCTTTCTGGAGTGTCGTGGAGGCAATACTCTTGAGTAGTCGAATAGTAGAACAAATTGTCTGTTCTGTCCTTTACGGCTTTGAATAGTAGTCGTGAAGTGATACCACAGTTTTAAGTTTTAGTGATTATATAGCGTTGCGTCAACGGTGTACTTTAGTAGGTTAATTCTATTAGTATTGTTGTGAACGAAAACACAGGTGGGGCAACCGGATTGTATTTAGCGAAATTACAGAGTTACTCAGTAAAATTGGAAAACCATATCGTAAATTGTTCATTTGCAAAATATCAGTTCATCATATCGAACTGGACTGTTCCTGTTGCAAAACATCAATCCATTGTCACTATTCATGCATTTCATACAAATTCCATTGTTTTCTAACTCTTCCTTTCTTGATCTTCCCCCATATTCTGCTGCCAGACATTACGTTGACGCTCACGTCATATACTACTTATAAGTAGCTCACACCACAGTATTACTAAGACTTTACTCGAGGATAATGAAAAACCAAAACACTAGTTATTAGAATTAGCTTGTTTTGTTAACGATCAATGAAATCTCAGTCAGTACACACAAGAATTAAGCACACCAAAGCAGTGAGTGCGCAAGCTGATGAATAATAAGTCAGCAGCATGTATATCTATGTTATGAATGCTAATCAATATGTGGATAAAGTTATTGATTTCCTAGGTCAAGAATCGAGGTGCCGAAATACATTCATTTGAACTGATACAAATGTATACATAGTGGATTAAATAAAAGTCAGACAGGTTTTTTTTTCTATGTAGTACAATTAAATTGAGAAGCCTTGTTTGATAAGCTCCCATCCCGAATAATGATGTTCCATTTTTAGAAAAATTAACATCTATGTTCGACAATTAAACAATAACACAATTATTATATTCAAAAATAGATGCGTAATAATTAAGTGGAAATTGCACTGTAAAAAAAGGAAATCTTTTTATGCAATTTACATGTGAATGCTAATGTATTGAATGAAAATAATTGATCAGATTTAATGATGTTCTGAATAGTAAGTAGAAGGATGGAAAAATCTACGCCAACGATATGCATAAAGCTAGAATATGAGGGCAATAATCCTTTTTGTGGCAAGGAACGAATAATGATGACGATAACGTTGATAATATACAAAGCGAATGTGCATTAATAGTACATGAATAATGTGAGAATTTTGATTAGATAAATATAGTGGTCGTCTCATATCTATCAGGTTAGCGTAATCTTCTTCCTCATTTTCTTATAGTTCCTGTTGCTGATGAATCTCTGTAAGGAGTAATGTTTGTTGCCGGTGCCTTGTTGGGTGGTAGGTAGTATTGTACAGGCTTTAGACGATTTCATTAGTGTCTGCTGTTCAATGCTCTCTAAAAATTCTGATTTAGCTCAAACGATGCTAACGATGCCATGTTCACCTGCTCTTTCAAAAGTAACTGTTTTGCTGTCTTTCCGGATAACTTTAAAAGGAACGTCTTATTGAATTATTTATTCGTCAGTACAAGACGAGAAGTGTCAATACGTCTTGATTTCATAAAACTCTGTATTAATGTAGGGTACAAAGCTATGTGTTGGCTGGTCGCGTTTGAAAGTCAATTGTAACAAGTTAGGAAACTGATTGAGCAAACTCATATATTTAATAGTTTCTTAACTCGGTCTGATTACCAAGTGTATAGAGGTTTCGTTAGACATACGTCCTTTAAGTTACCCTTTTAGTTGGTAAATAGGAGTTTCCAGTTTTTAACGTTCACAAATAGTTTGTGAGATTGCAAAAATTCAACGTCAGTTATGGGCATCAAAACATAGGCTACAAAGAAGTCCTTTAAAAAATGCATTTGAGACCAAAATGTATTTGTAGCTGGTTTTTTTCATATGTCCTAATCTCGGATTTGTTTGCAGCTTTCAGTTTTAGGCTGACGTCAGGTGTATTTTTATGAAGTATAGTAAGCGGTACTGTAACACATGTAATCAGTAGTCGCTTGTTTACCAAAGTTTTATGAGTCATCCTGTACGTTCGTTGCCCGCAGGGTTTG